CTCAACTCTACTACATGAATCTGAGTTATCCACGAGTGTGTTGGTGTTTTGTCCATCAACTCTAATACATGAATCTGAGTTATCCACGAGTATGTTGGTGTTTTGTCCCTCAACTCTACTACATGAATCTGAGTTATCCACCATCGTGTCAGCGTTGTGTTCCTCAACAATACTACCTGAACCTGAGTTATGCACCATTGTGTCGGTGCTCTGTCGATCAGCCATAACTGAATCTGAGTTATCCTCACTGCCACTAACATCTTGCATCAAATTTTCTAATATGGATGAATTACATATAGGGCACTTATCATTCGATGCATACAAATACAACCACTTTTTAAGACACGCCCCGTGAAAGTAATGACGGCATGGCGTAACTCGAGCGCTCGTCATTTTCTGGTAACAAATTGGACACACATTATCATCATCATTCAAAGAGTGAAGTTCATCTTCAGTTGCATGTCTTAATAAGTTCATCTTCCTCATTGCTAATCTCTTTTGCTTCAAACTCTCCCAACCAGTTCTGGCATTCTTCCAAACATTGAAATACAAAATTATAAGCAGCATACAGACTCCGAAATAATTCAAGTCGGAAAAGTAAAAAATTGTGTAACAGACATGAAATAAAGTCACAACGAACTCCAAGACGTAAGCAATTCCATGGATACAGTAAACAGCCTCGTCAAGATTTTCAAAGGGTTCTTCACGGAAATTGTCTATCATGAATAGAGCATATATCATCAGGGAACACAAGTTGTGAAGCGAAGTTAATAAACAGTACAATGAGATAATTAGAATCCAAAAATTTACAATAATGATTTGAGTAAAGTAATAGGTCATGACAATCGGAGTGCTAATTAGAATAAACACAAGAACAAGAACCCTAAAATGGGCTAGTTTCTTGTTATTTCTCGTGCTTAATAATAATAACTGAGGATTTGTCATATCAGAGATATTCCGAATGATATTGGATGCCACTATAAAGAGAAAAACGCTTAGGTTAACTATTTTGTCAATACGATTATAACTTAAAAATCCAGACTGGAGAGCGAGTAGAATGATGACCATTCCTTCAAATGTACCAGATATAGAATCATCATTTTGTACATTCCCATTAAAACCAACCAGATATATTTTACAGCAGCTGTATATGAAACACGCAG